TGTGATTATTCTTGTATATGTCTCTTGAACATATTTTGTATTTCTGTAGGTCATATACCTATAAAACAAGCTGGATCTCAGTATGTACACATGGCCAACTTTTGTAGAAATTTTCCAAAATGGCTGTGCACTTTACATTCTTATGGGTACTTATCTAGATCTTCCCTTATACATGGTATTTTTAGTCTTTTAAGTTTTCGTCATTATATAGTGGATGTGTGTTGGAATTGTGTTTTGGTTTTAATGATGGGTAACAAAAGTGAGAGGGTCCTGTCTTTTGGAAAGAGAACAGGCACATAAGACAGCTCCTTGCTCCTTCTAGGGACTGAGACTTGCCAAAGGACTTTTTATTCCATTTATAGAAAGGCATTTGGTTTAGGTATGTAATGAAGGTGACAAGTCAAAATGTTCCCTTAAACAGTTTAACCCAAGCCACTCTAACCAAAGGTTTGACCAGTAAAACAGCAAAAAGGAACATGACTTGGACTGTCCAGACAGTGCCCAAATTCAGAGTTGCCTTCCCCTGATACCACTGTGTAACTGGAGAGAATAAGGACAGCTTTCAATTATCCATTCCATGAACAGGGATACTCCAGCCAGTTATCTGTGAGTATCCACTCAGACCCCCAGACTTGATAGGATTGTTTTAGACTGAAGACATTTGAAATTCTACAGATGCAAAAAGCAGCTTTTTCAGAGTTTTGTTTCTTCAGAGGCAAAAACTTCCAGGAGTGAGCCTGCCACACACACGTCCCCTCTCTGGGGAGTTTTACTGGCCAGAAAAGAAAATGGAGATCTCAGTCACCTGAATACACAAAATTACAAACTTTGCTGCCTCCTGTTTATCCTCCTAAGAACCATTTTTTCCTGAAGAAACTTTTGTTTGTTTATGGTACCAGRGCTTGAACTCAGGGACACTCAACCACTGAGCCACATCTCAGCCCCTGATCTTTTATTTATTTTTTTTATTTTTTTTAGAGACAATATTTTACTTAGCACCTTGCTTTTTTGCTGAGGCTGGTTTTGAATTCATGATTCTCCTGCCTCAGCCTCTGGAGCCAATGGGATTACACGTGTGAGCCACCTCCCCAGCCTTCACCCTCTTCTTCCTGATTTGGTTATAGATACATAAACCCCTATCTCTAATTATCAAGAAATCCACTTTTTTGCATAATTCTGTAGTCATAATGGAAAAGTTAACATCATATCTTCTATTAATCTTTTAGTTAATTCACAAACCTCCAAACACATAACCTTAGTTGGTGGAGGAAAAGATTGTTCCCCCCAGCAATTGTTTGAACTTCAATAGGACACATCAATTTGAGCCATTACTCCATCAATAACCTGTTTAGTTGCATTGTGTTAGTCAAGACACGGAGTGCTTATGTTAATATTATTTCTCTGGAAAGCTATCTAAATACAGACAGTGCCCAAATTCAGAATTGGGCACTAAGTCCCCGTTTTAAAGCTGAGTGTTCATGGGTGTTTACTGGTGATTCCTTTTCGTGAAGCAGGTGCCTCAGACACAACCTCCAGTCTTCACAACAGTCAGGCCTGTGCTACGCATCTCCACATCTCCTGCTCCGTTACGGGGTGTTTAGCGTTTAGCAAGGAATGATTCAAACCTCACACACAAGGAACATGAAGACTATACAGACTAATTTTCACCCCTAGAAATAAGCTGCCCCTCCCAAAGTCACCTTCAGTGACCCACTCTTCCCGCCAGGAATGGGTCCTTCAGACCCACTCTGAAAATGGGATTCCATTCGTAGCTTTGATGTATTTTTTTTTAAAAATCAGACTCAACAGGGGATGGAATATAACATGTCACTCCCTTTTGCGGGGAGGGTGGGCAGAAGGGATACAGAATTACAGTGGCTGTAAGAACCCTGGGTTCCCCATGAACCCTCGGGGCGCTGCTCTCTGCAGGTGGAAGCCTGTGCTGAATTAAGCAACCTCCGAAGAGGCGCGGAGGAGCGACTCTAGCTAGCGTGGGGTCTCCAAGTTGACCTTCAGGCCAGGTGACCCAGAGGGGTGAGCTTACCTGCAGGGCTGCGGCGAGGAGCCAGCGGCCGCCACCACACGCCCGGGCCGCCTGGGAGGTGGGGAGGGAGCAGAGCGTGGGGCGCGCACTGGGTACCCGCTGCAGAAAGGGGTGCAGTGCCGAGGATTGGGCCGGGGAGGGGTGAGAAGGAGCCCGAGACCCACCCGGGCCACCCCGCGCGGACGCCCCCTCCGGCTATAACCCGGGCGGCTCTACTGACTGCGGGGACTGGGCGGGGCGTCCGCGGCGCGGCAGGTGCTGGGCTCCGTGCGCGGCCCGCAGAGAGCCCAGGCGCCCACGGAGCGGTTGTCACAGTCTGGGAATTTACAAATACCTGTGCCCAGACCCCTCCCTAACCCAACCGTGGGATGGGACGTGGTAGCAACTGGTTCAGAAGGGATTCGTTTCCGCAGCCACCTGTTATCCATTTTCTTAAAGGTTCAGTACCTAGGAGAGAGCGCCCCAGCACGTCGAAAGCGAGCAGGGATTTTTTTAAAAGATTAATTTTCTGAAAATAAATAAAAATCGGAGAGCCTGGTGTAATTGCAAAAAAAAAGTGTCAATATTTACCTTTTCATTAAAATTTCTGATTGTAATTTCAAAAATTGATTTCATGTGGCAAAGTGCTGGAAATTTAAAATCGGGATAGGACTGTAGCTCACCGGTAGTTGCGAATTTAACAAGGCGGCCTGGGTTCAATCCCCAGCACGAGAGAGGAGAAAGAAAGGGAGAGAAACAAAACAAAAACCCCAACTGCACCTCTAAAAACCTGGAATACATGTTCATAAGAGTCTGTTTCAAATATACTTGTGTATTTTTAAAAATGAGTGTTATTTGCATAACATTCGCTGTACTGAATGTGCTGTAAAGGGATTTTTTTAAAAAGGTTAATCAAGAGAATTGGAATGTTCCCAGATACAAAACAAATACAACAATCTTATTCCTTCGCAAAGGATGACAAGTATCAGTACTTCATACAACTAGATTTAATAAGTTGTTATTACAGAAAAAAAAGAAGTCCAAACTACAAAGTTTAAGCAGTTGTAAGCAATAGCTGCATTGAGCTCCATGTTTAGTCACAGTACTGTAGTTCCATACAAGCAATATTAGTCCAAGCCCCAAAGGCAGAAGCTGAGTAAGGGTTACTAGCAAAAAACAATCTAAGAGAACAGGTAATAAAAGATACAATACATTTAAAATTAGTTAGTTGAAAAACAAATACAGAGATCTTAGCTGTGAACACTCTAAAAGTATGTCCATTATTTTGACAGCAAAAATACAAATACCTAATACTTTATACCCCAACAGAACTATATCCAGGAAAGAAAAAGAGAAGTTATCCTGTTTTTAGCACCCAAGTTTTCTACTTGTTGCAATTAACTTCATCATACAAATTTAAACATCCCTGAATCACAGATCCATTCTTGACCCATTTTGGGGTATAGAGTAAAGTCAACAGCATTAATTATAAAATACTCTGTGGTAAGATGGAACACTATTGCAGCTGAGATAGAGAAGTTTGGTTATAATAAAAGAAAAAAGAAAAAAAGAAATATTAGCTGTCATACCATACAAATTAGTGAAAAAGCAACAATCCATACAAATACTCCAGYTGTAACAAAAGATACTTTTTTCACTAATCTGTGACTAATCTTTCATTCAAACCTTGCAAGTAGAGATGTCACAATACTCAAATATTTAGGTAGGAGCTTTACCCAGTTAAATACCATTTTGTTGCTAATATAATAGATAAAATGAAAACTAGCAGATATTTGCTAATTGCATAAATGCAGTACATTCTGCATTAGCCCATGCCTCACTAACAAGCTATAAAACACAAGATATAGGCAGAAATCTAAGCATAATCTTTATACCACTAAACAAGAAGTTTTCCAATTTCTTTTCTTCTGTTCCTAATCATTTATTTGTAGTTAATGTAAAATTCCAACCAGTAGTACCCAATTTGAGTTAAAATTTTACATCACAACTTGATCTAATCTATATATTATTTACAAAACTGAATACACAGAGCGTACCCAAGAGCCGACTCTGGACACACGTTTCTCCGAGTTATTGATTAACCTCCGCTCCGTAGCCACGGAGCTGGAAGAGGCCACCAACGACTAGTAGAAACACACCATCCATCTAGAGCAAGTCATTGGATGTTCCGTTTACGCAACACCAGTTTTGCAGTTGTATTTTTTTGTTTTACTTTTAGTTTTGCTTTAACTTTAGGTGCCATTGCAACGACGTGCTGTCTTAACAGCACAGCTTCCCGGTGAGGTGGGTGTTGGAAAAGCAGCAGCAGGAGGGCAGACAGATCATGCACGGGGTGACCCGGTGTGTGGCCGCAATAAAGGGCAAAGGGGCACCATAACAGGAGCAGGCAGGGGTGTGAAAGAAGATGCGGACTGACACGCACAACGTCCACGTACAGTGGTGACGACTGAGTGTGCTTCCAGCCACCCTGTGTGGAGGGAAGAGACAGCACGGGCCAGGCCTGTGCTACACAGAAGGTGGCATTCCCTTAACAACCCCCACTGACTCATAGACGTCACCACTGTAGATGTATGTAAAGGATTCCGGACAGAAAGGAACCGTCTCATACACGGACAGCAACTGGTGGCAGAATCTCTCTCTCTCTCACACACACACATACACACACTCAGGACACAGTGAAGAGTTAGAGGGAGAAAGCAATGAAACATTCTGTTGACCTAGCTAGGTTTTACACCCAGTGGGATTTCAGTAAGGGGTGACTTCATTTCAGGGCCACAGATTTGGCTGCACCTGGTGTTGTATAAATCCACTGTGACATCCCTAGAGACCTGTACTGTGACATCCCTAGTCTTACACTAAATCACTTTAATAAAGGAAAAGGCTTGTCAAAATTTCACATGTTCTGCTCATTCTGTCATTTTATTACCCAATTATCCATTACATTTTTTCCAATCACTTTACATAACCAACCATTTTCATCGTTGTCACACTATTGTAAACCACATCAGCAAGTTAATACATAAAGCTTTGCATTTCAAAAAACTAGACACTTTAGTAACAATATTACAAAGGTTTTAGCTTSAAAAATAACTGAAAATGAAAAAAATAAACTTTTAAAGAATTAGCATCATAAAATTAATTTATTCCAAGTAAAAATACAAAATAATATTATGACATTGACCAGATATGAAAGTCCCTCCCAGAAACAACTCTATTAATGATTGAGAAAGCACTCCTTAAAGAAAATACGAAATAAAATGAAAAATATGTAAATATGTTTAATTTTTTTCTTAGCAAAAAATCTTTCTAAAAATAACAATGAAAATTTGTCTCAGTACAAAGGCTACATTACTATTGAAAAAATACCAGCATGAAGAAAAGGTACATATTTGACAGTAGAAAAATGATTTCAGTGAATCACAATGTCTAAAGTTTGCAATGAAAATAAATCTGCAATAAAGATTTATGCCTTTTTTCTTTTCTTTTTTTTTCTATTTTTTATACAAACAGTACAAACAGTATTGCACATAACAACAAATAGTCGAGGTTAGGTTATAGCCTTCAAAAAATCGACTAGTTCAAGTGTCACATCAAGGAAAGGCCACAACAGGACCTGTGTTACCCAGGGGCTTCCCAGTCAAGTTGCAGGTCAGAACACCTCTGTGTTTTAAAAAATAATTTTTTTGAAGGACCCTCTCTTTTAATATAACATTAAGAACTTGGGGGCACATTTATTTACAAAACAAAAGGGAACATGTTATAATTTAATAAACTAAAAAAGTTCTCTTTAAAAAAATACAAACAGAAGAACTCTTTCACAATCCTGGTCAGTCGTGCACAATCAACGCTTGATTATAAATATACAAATTAAGGGAAAGTAGTTTCCACCATCTATTCACAACTTTCAGCACCAAATGGAGTTTATTTTTGTAACCTAGTCTTTATAACAACGTGTTTTTTTCCTTCACTTTAGCTTTATGCTGTACAATCCTCCAGCTTTGTGTTTTTTTAATCTCAGTGTTATTTTAGTACATGAAAGAGGGGTGCTTCTTCAAAAAGTTTGCTTCTTTCACATAATTAGGTAGATTTCTGTAGGTTAGATATGATCTTTAATATTATAGTTATAAAGCTCTAACTTCTTCATTTTCAAAAAACACAAATAAGCATGAAAAAAATAAAGTTACCCATCTGTTAAATCATTTTCTTGCAGAATTAAATTAATATATATTTTTCTGAATAAACTTACTTAGAAAATATCATTTTCTTTCCTATATTTCAAAATTGAGGTATTGCAAAAGATCATGTCAGTCAGAAAGCATGCCTTTTTCCTTAAAAACAAACAAACAAAAAAATCTTCAGCCAACTTTTGAAAACTGTCTAGAATACAAAAAGTAGTAGTGCATAACAAAATTTCTTATACAGATGAAAAACCAAACCAAACCACAAACATAGAAAAAAACAAACGAACAAACAAAACCACACCTGGGCTGGAAAAAAGCAATTATTACCAAAAAGCCCAGAGGTCACCTCAATTGGGGAGGATTCTAATAAGCATTTTTAATCCAGTAAAAAACTATTTTGTTTTTCCTTTTTGAAAACAAACTATAGCTTGAGAGCCAGTAATTGCAACTAAACACTGGAGAAAAAAAAAACAAAAACAAGCAATACTAATTCAAGACAATACAAGGACATCACAGCACATAAAACAGCGACTTAAGTCTATTCTGCAGTGTCACATCCAGTCAGATTGTCCCCAGAATTCCAAAACAGGAAGAAGATTTAAAAAAAGATTTACATAGTCTCGCGATCATTGTATGTGTTTATATATTACTATCTGCAGCCCAAGAGTGAATGCTAAAAAAATGTCCACGGTAGTACTAGCAGGTCTTAATTCTATTCAAGCTTTACAGGATAAATCCAGGGAATTAAGTAGTTAATTTCTCACCCAGACAACCAACTCTGCCCAGGCCATCTTATTTTATACAGACATTTCTTTAGCATCACCATCACACAACTCTCTTAAAGATGTGCCTAGTTTGTCAATCTGACAACTTATCTCTAGATACTGTATATATTCTTAGTGTTTGTAAGCTAAGATGAGCTCTTTGGTTTTCTGGACAAGGTCTGAAGCTATGTAAAATGGTGCAAGCACTAGGAGATTGTAACTAAGAGCTCATGTGTTACTTAATATTATACCAGTTATGAACTGTCAAGTTCGTTAATGTCTGACACAGAGGCTTTAAACAGTTAAGTTTGATCACAGTTAGACATAATCACTTTACTATATAAAATAAATTGCACAATATATAACAGAGCACCGCAAAGTACTTCATCTACCATCCACAAATTTGCTTTAAGAATATCCTACACCTAGGTTTTATATTGGTTGTAATATAGGTCATTCTGTTATGGGCTCCTCCTATTCAGAAGCATTCCATTTATTGAGGCATGCCTTCCTCCGATCGATTACCAATTCTTTGAATGAAAAAAATCTTGTTTTAAAAAATGAGTATTTTATAGCTTATATAGATTCTTAATTTGTGCATTGTGGGAAGGTTTTTATACTAGACATTGGATATAAAATTTATTGCATGCAGCAACCTGATTAAGTAAACATGCAGTCAGAAGTAGTGACCTTCCATTGACGCTTTCTGAAGTCTATTCTGATCTTCTTTCGGCAGCTGACTCTCTATCCCTAAATCATAAGAGTGTGTTGTTGGGTTTTTGTTTTTGTTTTAATTGATACCTTAGCCTGAATAGAGTATTATGGTATTAATAATACCATTTTAATAGCAGCAAAAGCTATTGCAGCATAAATTTACATAACACTAAAAGATCTAACCAAAATCCTCAGCAAAACAAAAATCAAACATGAAGGGAAAATAAAGATCCAGCTTATGAGGTATCCTTACAAGTCAAAATACAGAGCAACTAAAGGCTTATTTTCATTAGGGTTATCCTTATTCTAAATGACCCCAACTAATGATTGCTGAATTGTGAAGGTTTTGCTACATCTGCCACCTACTCACGAGTATTACCTTTGGTAAGTCTTGTCCTAGGGGCAACTCTCTAAGTTTCTGAAAATAAGTGCATGCTCCAGTTTCAAAACAATCAAAACAACAACAAACAAAAGAATCACAGACGTCAACCTGATGGCCGCTGATGAGAATGGCAGTCTACGTACAGTCACGAGTGACAAATCAGGTGTAAGAAATTAAGGTACCAAGCAGACAAAGGTGTGAATCAAAGTGCAAATCAGTACCGTTATACACTCTGCAGTTTTGCATTATACTGGACACTGAGTTCAGTAATATGACTGTAAATAATAATAATAGTAATAAAAAGACCCATTTCTTCTTTAAAAATCGAGAACGAATGCACAGATTTCCAGAACGCTGTAAGCCCTGAGGCAGTGCCCTCTCTTTTCCCTCCTTGTTATCTACTCCAGTACTTGTGGCTGGGTCGGCCCTGGGCTCAGCTCCAGCGGAAGGGGACGTGACGAGGGCGGTCGCCTCCCTCCTTCACCAGCGGTTTGTGGAACTCCCGCCCGGCACGGGAATGTATGCTCGCCCAGCAGTATTCGCAGTAATACTGCAGACAGGTGACGTTGGCACAGAAGAACGGGGCAAACTTTCCACCACAGCGTGTGCCCTGGCACTCATCACACATCTGATCATCCAGCACATATGGCTTCACTTCCACCTGGACCCAGAGAGGAGAGAGGGGAAATGGGTTAGCAATGTTTTTCATATTTCTCCCTGTTGAGAGTTTAGAAGCGGCTTAATGATTTGCCACCACTTGGAACTCCACTAATAAGGACAGTAGCCAAGACGGTGGGCTTTGGAATCAGCTCCTGGGTGCACTAGCTGTGTGGGATTAGGCAAATTCTTGACCTCTCTGTGCTTCTGTTGGCTTTATCTGGATAACTGTAAAACAGGTGTAACATTTATACACATGTGATGTTGCAGTCTCTGCATCAGCGGTTGAAGACTGGCAGGCAGGGCATTATCTATTCAGGGTTCCAGCTGAATAGACAGCTTAAAGCTTACTGTGTTGTTACTGGATGAGGATTTCTTTTTTTGCACCAGGGTTTGAACCCAGAGGCACTAAACCACTGAGCCATCTCCCCAACCCTTTTTATTTATTTATTTATTTAGAGATAGGGTCTTACTAAGTTGCTGAGGCTGGCTTTGAACGTGCAATCCTCCTGCCTCAGCCTCCTGAGCCACTGGGATAATAGGCCTGCACCCCCACCCCCAGCTGGCCAAGAGTTTTGAGGGATCTAGTCAACAAAGTGTGTCATAACACCCATCAGGACTGTCTCTAGGCCAGAGACACAGTGATGCCTTATTGATCAGCTTCCTGAGTAATGGATTCCTCATAAATTACTTTTCCCAGAGGCCAGACATTTTCCCCTTCTGGTGCTTAAACATCTTGAATTTTGAATTTTTTGGTGAAAAGCTTACTAAAATATATTATCCATCCTGCCCCAGTCTAAGCAGGAGACATTATGGATGTTCTTTGAAGTGCCATGGGTGATTTTCACTTTTGCTTTCATTCCCTTAGAATCTTGCTATCTGCTGTCATGTCCAATAACACCTTCCAAACCCCCTGTATAAGTTTGTGATTTCCAATCATTTTCATTAAGCTTACTAAAAGGGGCACACTAAATGCCAGTCAAATGACTCTTAAAAGCCCCAGAATAAAGGATGTGGGTTTTGGAGTGCTGCTGCACTCTCCGAGGCCTTTCCTGGACACTTCCTGAGGGCTAAGTGATGCTAGGTGTTGATCACCCAAAGATGAGACACACACCATGACTCAAAATGATCCCAACCCAGATGTGCAAGGCTGCTACAGCAACCTCTCAGAAGGCAACAGCCAAGCTGACTCTGCAAATTTACATAAATTAAAGAGAACAACTACATGAAGCATACTCTTTAGGCTGTCCCACACTAAAAGAGGGTCATTATTTTGGCTCATGTGGATTTACTCACATGACTGGTATTTATGGATTGCTTATTCCTTGCCAGGCCCTATATTAAAACTGAAATGAAACACAGAAGATGACACAAGTTCTTCCCTGAAATAATTTATGGCCTAGGACAGTTTCTTCAAGTTTCAGAAGGACCTGACTCACTTGGAGATCCTACGTGACACTGTTGAAGGGAGGCCATAATTCTTAGTAGAGATGTCCTAAAGGTCCATACATAGTTTTTGCCATATTCCAATGCCACTTGGACCATTACCAGATATATTAAATGACTATCCAAATTAATTCCACTTTTTCTAATAAATAAATACAACAAAATAAAAACTGGTTTCTCTTTTCATCACCTAAATCACCTGGAATATCAAGCCATGACATTTTGGAAACATCAGTCTGGTGGGAATCTCATTACTGAACTATATAAAACTCCAAAGGCTCCAGGCCCATGCAAAGCCAATTGCATGGCCAAACTGACCCTTTCCTTCAGAGGGACTTGCAGGCACAGGAATGATAACTACCTTCAGAGATACATGGATTACTATCCCACATGCCTGAAGGAGGTGGTCATGCCCAAGGATACTGAAGAGCATGTATAATTTACTGATGAGCTGATGACCACTAAGGATAAGTGGGACTGATGAGAGCTTGGACAAGTGGCTACAGAAGATAGACAAGGAGAATAATATGTTTAAAATGATACAGACAAAAAGAAAGTCATACCTAAATAAAACTGATTTCACACTTAAGTTTTTTATTTCTAACAAGCTAGAGAAATGTTTGTCTGCGGTCATTTTGTTATCAGTCAACAAACTGACCTCCCAGAGTTTATAAAACAATGACTGAACAACTCTCAGTGGCAGAGAGAGTACATCAAGAGACCATACACTATTCAAGGTGCAGAATTTCCTGTCCTTGGACATGAAATAAGAGGGAAGTACTGGCCAATGTCAGGAGCGGTTTGAATTATATGCTAAAGGCCATATTAAGGACAATCAATCAAAGACCAGCCCTTGATATAGTCTGCCCTTTGAAGAGAAGAACCAAATAAACCATCCCAGTGCAAGTAAGGCATGCTTATGGGTAGATGGAAGCCAAGTAGAAGCAGCCATTTCAAATAATGGATTTGGAAAAGACAAGTTGGAAAAAGAAGCCAAATGAAGGCTGTAATTTGATAGGAAGAAAAGTAAGGCTTGCACCTCTTCATACAGATTCACAGCCCAAATACATGCTGTAAGCCAGGGCCTAAAGGAGAGGTAGTCAAACAGTAGCATACACCAGCAAGGCTTTAACTCYAAGAATCACTCACCAGGAGGCCAATGAAAGGACAAATCTGACCTAAGGATCAGATTATAAGAAAAAAATGAGCTGGAGCCTGTGGATGGGAAAGGCAGAAGAGAAGATGTACAGAACAGCCACGCTACAGGGGGGAAGGAACAAAGAAGGGGTGCTAAGAGCCACAGCCAAGTAATATGATGCATGGCACTTTTAGTTGAAAGGTGACACCAGCTAGCCATTGAGATGATATGATTATGTTATTCATATGGATATTGGACTCCTGCTGTTCACCTTGGCCTGCTACGGGACTCCTGGAGAGTTCCCATTGGTTGAGGAAGTACAGTAGGAGGGAATTCCGGGGGAGGAACTTGTTCTGGGGTTCCGGGAGAACACCGAGTGGGTGGATCGGCTTCTTCCTGGACTTGTACGGGGTATTGGCGACATTTTCAAAAATAAAGTTTGTTCCTGCTTGAGTGGCTCGTGATTTTGTGCCCAGCCAGACTGCGGCAAAGGGGCACCTCTGTTCTTAAGATAAATACAGCACACAGACCTTGAGTAAGAGAATACTGCTTCCAGGTGATGACCAGAAAGAAGAGTGGGTGAGAAGTAGGATAGAGGTTACTGAAAGACTCATACCATCTCCTTCTCCTGACTTCAAGGGAGGGGCTCTCATCATCACATTTCGGGTGAACTACTGGACACTAGGGCTTGAGTGATTGTGCCTTCTCTCTCCAGCTGCCCAGAGATCCAGGGTCAATGCCAAGAGCACTATGGCAATGTCAGGTTTTATCACCAGAGGCACATGTTTGGACCAAAGGAAAGGATAATCAGCTGTCCTCTGGCAAAGAAACCTTGACTCTGGTTTTCCATTCTGAGACCCACACTTCAGAAGGACACATTGTCAGAAGGACCTGACTCTCGATGTGACACTGCTGAGGCCATAGTGCTTAGTAGAGACATCTATAACTTGGCCGAGACATTCACGGCACTTCTGGGATAAGAAGCAGCAACTGCAGCTTGGGGCTGCCTAACTGATTACTGTTCAGTGTGAGCCCAACACACCATGTGTAAGCTATATAGGTTAAAGGGAGAACTAAACCTTGATAATAAGGAATTTAATTTCTTTGAATTTTTTAACTTACTAGGCTTCTTGGAAAGATCAGACCACAAATGGTGGCCATAAAGAGACAYAAGAAATCAGTTAATGATAACATTAGGAAGCTGCTGATGCAAAATCTTTAATAGCTAAAGGCAACCTAACAGTGCTAAGTCTAGCACACGCTGACCAGAGCCCATATGCCAGGACAGATAATGTCATCCATGTTGGGTAATCAGTGCATTAGTTAAGTGGGTTGCAAATACATTACCTAGACAAGAGTATTTGTAAATGAAATGTTAGAGTACTTTTCCCAGCTAATAGGGAAAAATTTCAATCCAAATTCACTATTTTTTAAAATAAATTCCTAAGGTCTAAGAAAATCTGAGGGAACATGTCACCTCAAATAAGAATGCTGAATTCCCTAACAGCTACATTTAAACAGTTAATCTGGGACCCTGAGAATCAAGCCAGCAGTCCCTTTAGAATCTGTACAAGTCATAGTTTTAACTCACACTGGATTCTGCCTGGCCTTTAAAAAACTGGATCAACCAAAGCCACAAAGTATGTTCTTTGTAGTTAAATCAGATGGACATCAGTAATAATTCATTAAAGTTTTGTTCATATATACACTATGCAATGGCTAGGGAAAGAGCAGCATTGAATACTTAAAGTTGTTTACTTATTTAAAGAAAAAGCATTTAAAAAGTTAAGGGCAGGGTATAAGTGTCCCTATTTCTACATTGGACCCTGGTGTGATCCTTGCTCACTAAGCAGGCCATTTCCTATCACCTGGTACAATGGTGCTTCTTGGAAAAACATTTAATTTGGAGTGCTCAAAGCTTTCAAACAGGGGCTGGGGATGTGGCTCAAGCGGTAGCGCGCTCGCCTTGTATGCGTGTGACCCGGGTTCGATCCTCAGCACCACATACCAACAAAGATGTTGTGTCTGCCGAGAACTAAAAAATAAATATTAAAAAAAATTCTCTCTCTCTCCTCTCCTCCTCACTAAAAAAAAAAAAAAAAAAAAAAAAAAAAAAAAGCTTTCAAACATGATCTTCTTGGCATGTGTCACAGAGTACATCCATCCAGGCCTAAAAATCACAGCAGACTCACTGACATTCCCATTCAACCCATCTTTCCAGTTGCTGAAGGAGGTCTTCCAGCAGCTGACAATACTAAGAATAACATAACATAAACACGTGTTTTTGGTTTTTCCATCTGTCTATGAGCCAGAATCCTGCTATTTAGAAGATGACAGATCACACGAAATCAAAGTAGCAACATGAAAATAGCTTTTCCTTAGCAACGAAGTTATGCACAACCTTCCAGATATGGCAAATT